GGAGGAGAGAGGGAGGGAGGGAGAGGGGAGGGGGAGGGAAGGGGGAGAGGAGCAGGAGGGTAATGCCAACTCCTTGCTGCAAATACAGCTTGAGTCGGACCTGCTATATCCAATAATAAAGCATAGGGTGGATTGCCTGGGCATCTGGGAAGGACACGACAGAATAAGAAGTGAGACGCAATTCTTTAGGAAGTTGCTCAGGAGTGTCAAACGACCAGTACTTCTGAGCAACTTTCGCCTGGGGCTCCGAATGCGCTGTACGCCGGAAAAAAAAAAAAAAAAAAAAAACGGCATGGGCCTTGGTTTGGCAGCAACTTTGGCTGGTGCTGCCAGCCATTTTGCTGCGGCTGCGGACCCCCAAAAGTTGCAGAAGCATGCAAGAAAAATGGCTGGGAAACGTACTGGTGGTTTAAGATACAGTCCGTAAACAAAAAAAAAAAAAAGTGGAGAAGAAAAAGAAAGAAAAGGAGGGAAAAAAAGGCCAAGCGGCCTACGTAGCTCAGTTGGTTGAGCACGTAAGCGGTACACAGGAGGTCGTGGGTTCGGTTCCCCACGGCATCCATTCCATTCCTCACGACCCCCTGTGTCGCATACTTCGGGTTCATGAAAGTCGGCTTGTCCCTCCTGGCTAGGCGTGGAGGTGTCTGTCGCTACCTCACTTTCCAGCCCGCACCAGGTGTTAGGAACTTGGGTGCTGCTCCCCACACAGAGCAGTGTTAGGTTGGCATAGACCCATAACCTTGGGATAGCTTAGGCCTGGTTAGCACATTTAAGGTTGGTCTTCTGTCTGATGTAGGGTAGTTGCTTCTCCTGAATAGATGTGATCCATCCTCTGGCTTGTGGGGCTTGTGGGCAGGGCATAGATAAGAGTAGCTAGTGTGAGGTGATAAAAAAAAGTAAAAAAAAGTATTGAGTGAAGTAAATGGGGTAGGTGTAAAAAATACAACTGTCCCCCATATGAGGATAAGACATCTGTATTTTTCTTTAAAATAAAACAAATTAATAATTTAATAATAATAAATAAAGTAAAAGAAAAAAAAAAAAAAAAAGGAGAAAAAAAAAAAAAGATGTTGCTTTTTTTTTTTTTTTTTGGCCTAGCTCAGTTGGTAACACACAAAAGCTGCATTCAGGAGGTCGTGGGTTCGATTCCCAGCCCTTACTCTCGAATTCTTGCGGTCTCCTAAGGCAAGCTTCAGAGCTCGCCAGCTGAGATAGTCAGCTCGCCCCGCCTGCTTGAATGGACAGGGGGCTCCTTCCCTTAAGTGGTCTTGGTAAGGGAAGTCGGTGCCGCCTCCCCCACCTACCTGATACCAGGTGTTAGGCTCAACCCTGAGGGGATAGGATCAAGTCCGATCAACCCATTACTCTTAGGGCAGCTTAGCCCTAGCTGGTAGATTAGGGCATAGCATGTAGCTCCTTAACGTAGTCTGAGACTCTAGTCTTAGACCCTGGACCCCCTTGGTGTGTGTGTTATGTATCTGATTGAAATTTGAAACTTCCATCCACAACGATTCACACGTTCCCATACACGCATGCAATTACAGAGTAGACTCGGAGGAGGCAAATCCACACAAAACCGGATAGAGGATATACACAACGGAAGCTCAAAATAGTAAAAGACACAGAGAATTGAAAAACGAATTTCAATTCTGTAATCCCCCGTCCTCCTCCAATCAATCCAAGGTACTTGTTCCAAGAATCATAACCGCGTTTACAAAAAAAA